AGCAGAGAAATTCAGAGACAAAATGACAAAACATATTCAAGAATAAGATTAAAATTCAGAGAAATAACTTTTTCTCATAGTACATATGGCAGAGAAAATTCCAAGAAGAAACATTCATTCCAGAGAAAATTATAAATACCAGAGAAACTTAGACAGGGGCAAGAGTGTAATTGACATTGCAGAGAAGGATACATATTCCAGAGAAATTTACAAAGCAGAGAAATTCAGAGACAAAATGACAAAACATATTCAAGAATAAGATTAAAATTCAGAGAAATAACTTTTTCTCATAGTACATATGGCAGAGAAAATTCCAAGAAGAAACATTCATTCCAGAGAAAATTATAAATACCAGAGAAACTTAGACAGGGGCAAGAGTGTAATTGACATTGCAGAGAAGGATACATATTCTAGAGAAATTTACAAAGTAGAGAAATTCAGATACAAAATGACAGAAACATATTCAAGAATAAGATTAAAATTCAGAGAAATAACTTTTTCTCATAGTACATATGGCAGAGAAAATTCCAAGAAGAATCATTCATTCCAGTCCACAATATTAAAATTCCAGAGAAAATTTAAAATGACAAAGACACAAGGGAGGAAAGTGATGTGATGTGGTCAGAGAAAATTATAAATACCAGAGAAACTTAAGACAGAGGCAAGAAAGCAATAGACATTCTAGATTAAGATAGACATTGCAATTAAAAATACATATTACAGAGAAATTTACGGAGCAGGAAAATTTATAGACAGAATTACAGAAACATGTTCAAGAATAAGATAAAAACACAAAAAATTGTTGTGAAAATAAACTTGCCAGAGAAAATTGAAAGAAGAAAATTACATTAATCAAAAATCAGAGAAATTCAAATGCCAGAGAAATTTACAGATAAAATCACACAAATATGTTGAAGAATAAGTTCAAAATACACAGAAATAAATTTTTTCAAATTCAGGTAGCTTTTTATTACGAAATTGAAACCCTAATTTATGAAAGGTTATTATAAAATGCTATTAACTGTGTTTCCAGAGAAAATCTAGTTGTATTGTAGAAAAACTGACCAGAGTTAGGATGAAACTTGAATGATGAGCTGATATGGTCCGCGATGAAGATGCGACGTGACGAAGATGGACTGAGATGATGACGAGCCGTGAAAACGAAGCTTTAACGTAGGTCAGAGAAATTTGTGAGGAATGAATGGGAATGATTTTTGGAGAGGATAACGAAGCTGTAATGTCGATGGTGCAGATGATGTTGAAACCCTAATTCTGCTGGTCTCCTGTTCGTGAAGATGCTGGATGTTTGGAATGTAACTGAGACGTCGGAATGAGTTTGGTTCTGTGTTGATTTTGGCGAGGGTATTTTGGTCCACAAAATAATTAAAAACGCGCGCCAAGTTGTTTCAGGGACGTGAGGCATCACTATCTTTTTGTGTGTCCTTTAGCCTCTAAATTGTTATTATTAGGGATCTTAAAAAAAAATCCCCTTTATTTTTTTGGAAATCAGAGAGCTTGAAATATTTGATTTGGAAAAAACATTTGACTACCATACATGCTTGTTAATTTTTTTAAAGTTGTATGAAAATTTTCAAGAATATACAAATGACAGAAATTACTTAGTATATGTGAAATACATACATCTTAAAATTAGTTGGGATGTAATTTTGAATATGTTGATAAGTTAAAAACAAAAAACCAAAAAAAAAATGTAATACCACTTTTAATTAATCATTTCATGTGTCAAGTATTTTTATATCTTAACAAGCATTTTTAAACATTCATCAACAAAATTTATTTATATGTAAATTTATTTTGTTCGATATAAAGGCTTCGTTTGGAAAGTTGCTATTTTAGTAGACTATTTTAGTTTTTGACTATTTTAGTAGGGCTAAAATTTTTGTGTTTGGGAAGATGATTGGATTTTTTTATGGTTGGATGTGATGTTTGTGAGAGAAAAAGTGAAATGATTATGGGTTTGATGTAATATTTTGTCTTATTAACTATTTTAGCTTATTTTATCTTTTTGTGAATTTTAATCTAAATTAGACTATTTTTTTTCTTCTCAAACATCCCCAAAGTGAATGGGGGTAGATAGCGGAGTTTCATGGGAAAGGAACTTCTTAAAAAAATGGAATATAGCCGGATGGTTTTTTAAGTGTGAAATTGATTCCTATTTTTTATGGATTTTATGAGATTTCTTAAAGTGAAGAGTAGCGGTGTGCACAGAATCGCAGGACCTGTCTAATTCGTCCGACCCGGAATGCTATGAATGGTTTCGAAGAAATTAATGGTCGGTTGCAGTTTTTCTCAAGTGAAATTCACGGATTTGTGGTCGGAAACGGTTCACCCATATACGTACCCAACAAACCTGGCCCGACCGATTGAATATCAACAATATAATATTTCTATATTTTCCTTGGGAGTATGCGTAGATAGGCTATTATTTCCCCTCTTTTCATAGACATTCAGTGCCTATGTCTCTGTCTCACTCATAAATTCTAGAAAAACTAAAAAGGTAATTGTTTGGTAGTTTAAAATTTTATGATTTAAATGGTTTAAATTTATCAAAATTTATTAAAATGACATCATTTTACATTCAAAATGATATCGTTTTGAGTGATTTGAGACATTTAAATCATAAAATTTTGAGTTACCTAATATTATTGAACTAAAAAATAAAAAGTTTCTTTTTCTCTCTCCAACTTCGGTACGTAGCTCAAAAGTGTGTAGCTCGAGAGTGGCCCGAATTTGGTTTTTTTATCTGTTGTGGGCGTGTGCCTGAATGAAGTCTCACACCCAAACGTTTCACGAAAATGTCTCGTAGCTCAAATTTTGTGGCTCAAAAGTGGCTCAAATGGCCAAAACGACGTCGTTTTGGCCATTTTTATGTTGTTCTGTACTCAAAACGACGTCGTTTTGGCCATTTGAGTCACTTTTGAGCCACAAAATTTGAGCTACGTAGCATTGTCGAACATTTCATTTGGAAAACAATAAAAAAAGAAAAAGAAAGACAAGAACAGAGATTAAAGAGAGAGAAGCATGTATCCTTCGTAACCTAATGGCGCAGTGAGAGAAGTGATCTGGGTCCTGTTGCTGCCGTGGGTGCCGCAAGCTGCTGCCGTTGTGTCGTCCATAGTGGAAGAAGAGGAGTCTTCACTGCTTGAGTTGCAGATATTGCTCTGTCCATAGGTATTTTGTTTCCCCTTGTGTGATTTGCTCTTCAATTGCTCTGTCAAGACAAGAAATCAACACTGCTTTGGGTTGAATCTTTAATACCGAATTTTGATTTCTAAAATACAGAATTTCTGTCAATTCAAAATTTCTAAATACTGTCAATACAGAATTTTATATTTTACATTGTTTTGGTACTACTTTGACAGAAATTCGGTACTAGTTTGAATCTTTAATACAGAAGTTCTAAATACAGAATTTTGATTTCTAAAATTTGAATCTTTAATTCGGTACTGTTTTAATACAGTTGTTACAGATTTTGTCATTAAAGGACACAAGTAATTCAAGAATTCTTTAACAATGACAAATTCTTACGGTGGCTGCCATTAAAGTGGCTGTCATGTCCCTTTGTCATTCTTCCCCCAACTTTTGTCATTGTTTTGCATATCTCAAATAGCTTTAATGAATTAGTTGTTACAGATTTTTTTTTTTTTTTAGAAGGTTAATAATAAAAATCTCAATATTTGTTATAATAAGATAATCGTTTTTACTAGAAAAGACCAAATTTGAACTGTTCTTCATAAAATACTTGAATTGTTGGTATAAATTGGGCACTAGACACTGCACTGTTGGTATAAATTTTTGGTGGTATAAATAGAATTTTTGCCTAACATTGGTGTTATAAAAGCTACCCCTTCATCATATATACTCTAATGTTTGCAACAATTTGAGGACATAACTCTAAAATTGTCCGCTAACTGTATGTCTTGACCTCCAAATTATTGTTCTTGTTTGCTTCCTTGTAATGTTGATTGTTGTGTGATAAGAATGTTGGAGGCCATCAATGTTTTGTCCACTACCTCTAAAATTTTGTATTCTATTTCACTATGAAGCTAGAATGGATATTGATTCGAACAATAATTTATTCAATGGGAGTGACGAAGTTGAAGAACAAGATAACACACTTTCATTTAATGAGAGTGGTGAAGTTGAAGAACCTAAGAAAGGAATGTGTTTTACCTCAAAGGAAGAGGTGTACGCATTTTATGCAAAATAAGTGAAACACTCGAGATTTGCTATAGCTTATAGAACACAAAATCTAACAAGTGATGGGGAAGTAAAGTACTTTGGAATTCAATGTACTTGGGCGTGGAACAGGACAAAAAGATCAGAAATAAATCCCTTGGAACCATCTTTGTCATCAAATATTGATTGTAAAGCAAGGGTAAGAGCCAGTCTACAAAAGGATGGAACATATAAGTTAACCACAGTTATGCTTGAGCACACTCATGATTTGGTTGCTACTGACTCACGGCATTTTGCAATGAATAAGAGGATTCTTACTCCAGTGAAGAAGAGACTAGAAGTTGACGATGTAGTAGGGATTGGTGTGGCTAAGAATTTTCATTCCATAGTTGTTGAAGGGGGAGGGATACAAGGCATTAACGTTTAATGAACGAGATGCAAGGAATTATATTGAGAATGCTAGAAGGTTGAGACTTGGGGTAGGAGGCGCCGAATCAGTTACACATTATTTTCATAAAATGCAACAACAAAATTCAAACTTCTACTCGGCAATTGACCTTGATGAAGATGGTCGCATATGCAACTTGTTTTGGGTGGATGCAAGGAGTAGGGCAGTTTATAAAGCATTTAGGGATGTTGTCTCGTTTGACACAACCTATTTGACAAACAAATATGATATGCCGTTTACACCATTTGTAGGAGTGAATCACCATGGATAGTCAATTTTGTTTGCTTGTGGGTTGTTATCTAATGAGAACACTGAGACATTTGTTTGGCTATTCAAAAAATGGTTAAGTTGCATGTCAGATGCTCACCCAAAAGCTATAATAACTGACCAGTGCAAAGCTATGAAAAATGCCATAAAAATTGTCTTCCCACAGGTTCGACATCATTGGTGCTTATGGCATATAATAAAGAAAATTCCAAAGAAACTAAGAGGATATTCGCAATATGAATCCATAAAGGTTGCTTTGCAAAATGCTGTTTATGATTCATTTACAAAATATGAATTTGAGGAAAACTGGCACGCAATGGTTGCAAAATTCAATCTCAATGATAACGAGTGGTTGGGGATGGGGATGTTATACCGTGAGCAACATAGGTGGATTCCTGCCTATGTTAAAGACGTATTTTGGGCTGGCATGTCAACTACACAATGAAGTGAAAGCATGAATGTATTTTTTGATGGATATGTGGACTCCACGACTACCTTAAAGCAATTTGTTGAGCAGTATGACAATGCCTTGAAAAGTAAGGTTGAGAAGGAGACAAAAGCAGATTTTAAATCTCGTAACCAATTGTATGATTGCTTAACGGTGTATCATTTTGAGAAGCAATTTCGTGCAGCCTATACAAATTCAAAATTTAAAGAAGTTCAAGTAGAAATGAAGCATCCAGTGTACTGTCAGCCGAATCTTGTCAAAAAGGAGGGATCAATTTGTACCTATCATGTGAGAGAGGCTATTCTTTTGGGTGAGGGTATGAAGAAATTTGAATTTGTTCTATACTGTAATTCAAGTGAATGTGAGCTCCAATGTATGTATCAGTTGTTTGAGTCTAGAGGTATCATGTGTGCTCACTCACTTAGTGTGCTCATTGAGAGGTCCATATATGAGGTGCCAAATAAATACATTGTTGACAGATGGAGAACATATTTGGAAAGATGGTACACATGCATTCCAACATCATGTACTAACTTCGGGCATGCTCTAAATCCAAAATTGCATGATAACTATCACAAGACGTTGGATGAGATCCTAGAACTTGCCACCAATGATGATGGTAAACACAAAGTGATTCACTTGGGTTGATGGAAATCAATGATTGAGTGAGAGTAATTGAATCGGGCAGTGCGAGTAGCGTGCCATGTATTAGTACTGTACCACATTCTAGTAATATTGTACCACCTTCCCATACTTTACCGAGAAGCCCGCCTGGTCTGAATACTACAAAAGCCAGCATCACTCGCACGGTACTCAGTCCGTTGGTTGCTCGCCGAAGAGGATGTCCATGTACGAAACGGAAGGTTAGCAAGGTTGATGAAATAGTGAATCGGTTAAAGGGAAAGAATAAGAAGACCACTCCCATACAGGTAAATTATTAAATTCGCAGTAGATATGTAAATTTAAGAAATTTTTTAACTTAAAATATTCACCAATGTGTGTTATTATAGGCTCGCAAGGTGCGTAAAGGTGAACCCTATAAGTTAAACTTCACTTCTACGGGAGGCGTGCAAGACACTAGGTATGAACTGGTACGTGTTAAAATATTTATGTTGTGCATTTATAGTTTAATGCTTAACGTTAAAATATTTAGGTTGTGGATTTTTAGTTTGTGGATTTATAGTTTAATGCTTGAAATTAGTAATCAAATTGTGTTAATATTTGATGATAAGGTGCCACAAGATCAACCTTATTATTTTCCATCTATGGTTCGCACAGAAAACAGTATGTATGTACCGGTATGTGTTGAAAGGATTTAATATATTGCACTTTGTTTGTTGTGGGTTTTTATTTTAATGCTTAAAATTACTAATAAAATTGTGTTACTATTTAATGATAAGGTGCCACATGATCAACCTTACTATTTTCCTTCCATGGTTGGCACACAAGACAATATGTTTGCTCTGGTACGTGTTGAATATATGAGTAGGCATATTTTAATGATGAATTAAATTTTATATTAGTCAATATGTATGTGGATAATATTTGTAATATTTACTTTGTTTATAGGCCCGGGTTAGCCCAACGCAAATGACAAACAATATTAGAAGCACGTCTCATAATCAAGATTGGTCAACAATATAAGCAGTCAAAGTGCGACAGTAGCATCACAATTTGTTGACTTGAATGCACATGCCGATCCAAATGTCCCTTTTTTTTTTTTAAGTTTCGCAATAGGAAATGTATGACATTTGTATGTACTTCGGATAGTTTGGTATTCAAAGTAAGGTGTTTTGAGTATATAACAGTGTTGATTTGAGCATTTAACAGTGTTGATTGGAGCATTTAACAGTGTTGATTTCACAACATTTACAAAATATGTTTGATTTGAGAACATTTAACAGTGTTGTATTAAGTATTTAACAGTGTTGAAATATAGGAGGATGAAAATTTTGTTCTTGAAATATGGTTACTGTTGGTTTTTTTATACTGGTTTTTGTTATGGTTACCGCTGGTTTCTGGTTCATCTTCCATAGTTCCTTCAGTGCACATCTCAACAAAAGGCAGAGTCTGAACTACCCTGACTTGATCATTCTCACCCAAGCATCAAAATTACAAAAACACATGTTAGTATCAAATAGAATTCATAGTCCTCAGAAAATTCCAATATTGATTCTTCACAGCCTTCTTCTTTATGGGTCTCATTTTATATATAGGTATATGCTTTCTAAGATTCATCATTTATCTATTGAGAATTAACTTAACAAATTACACTTTGAAGAACAAGTTGAAACTTTTGTAATCTACAGGATTTACAAAATTCATGAATGGAAGAAAATCAGCATATATATACTTAATTGAAGAAATAAATTAATAGACAAATTGTAAGATTCATCATTCAACAAAATCCAAGATGTAGTGCTGGAATCCCAGAGCTATTGCCTCAGCTGTTTTCAAATGGAAAAATTGACAGAAATGAGCAAAAACTCAAGAACAAATTTTTTCATCCTCCTGGTTTCTGGAAGGCTTACATTCATTACTATCCTATGAAATCAATTCAATCCAAACTCATCCACATACAACACAGAACATATAAGTTAAGTCATTTACATCATTTACAAAATATATTAATGCCATTTCCCAAAACCTAACTAAGTCATTTACATCATTAAGTCCAAAAACATACAAATTACAAAACAAGTTTTTCATTACATCCATGAAATCCCTAGAACGAAAGAGAGTCAGTCATTTACATGATGAAGTGCACACAAAAACAAAAAAACAAAAAAACAAAACACAATTACATAAATCATTGCCTTGAAGTTCTTTTCCATCCTTTGAATCCTTCTACTATGCTCATGAATTTCATTTTCCATCTCACCAAGCCTTGTCCTTAGATTGTTTAATTCTTCTGTTCTTATTATTTTCCAAGGTCCAACATTGGAACGAACTGTGGAGCTAGTGTTGTCATCATCCTCATCTGCGAATTTGAAATAATTACAGTGTTCCTTGTGACTCTACAATGCATAAGAAGTAGTCAATCAAATAACTGAATTAACTTTGTACATAGTAAAAGATCAATTTCTACAATACATACATACATATTTCAATGGACAAACAAAGAATAAACGTCCTTGGTTTCCATTCTCATTCATTCGTACAATATACATCGATGTTTTTTTTTTTTTGGATGGGTAAGTCATAAATTAAAGACAAAAAACTTACACATTTACAAGGGGCATACCCAGGTAATACAATAAAACCTCACGCCCCCCAAAAGTGGGGGGACTAAAACAAATAAAAATAACTAAATATAACAACACTACAACATTACCCAACAAGATTACAAAAACTAAATTTAAATTTGCCCATATATCATTTTTTAATCCCAAGTAACCCCTACCATCAAAATAAATAGATGGAAACTTGGGAATGATATATAGGCAAATAAACAAGAAATGAACTAATTATTAACCAGAAAAATGAGTGGTAACTCGAAATTACTGTGGCCCGAATGGCTCGACAACCCAAAACGACGTCGTTTTGAGCTGTCTTTTTTTTTTTTCTCTCTTTTTCTTCTTTATTTCTTTCCTTTTCATTCTTTCCCCTTCATTCTTTCGAACACAGAGACAGAGAGGGAAGAGGAGAGGAGGGGGAGAGAGAGAGAGAGAGAGAGAGAAGAGAAGGAAGATCGGTGATGGCGGTCGGTGATCTGAAGCTGTTGAAGATGATGATGATGTTCAAAATCTGAAACTGTTCAAAAAAAAATTTGATCTGGATGATGGCGGTGTAAAAAAATATGTTCTGTATATTTATTTATTTTTTACTTGTTCTGGATCTGAAAAAAAAATAAATAAAAAAAAGTTGTTGATGATGATGAATTCGAAAAAAAGTTGTTCTGTTCTGTATATTTTTTTTGTTGAACCAACAAGAAGAAAAAATTTTATTTATTTGCAGAACCAAATTTTTGTTGTTGATCTGCAGAACTAGATTTTTTTTTTTTTTTTTTGATGTTGATCTGGATGTTGATAAACACAACTCTAGATGGAGGAGCTGAACCAGACATCCACGTCTAAAGATGTTGATCTGGATGTTGATCTTCAGATGTGGATGTGGATGTTTGATCTGGATGTTGATCTTCAGATCAAAGACCAAATTGTTCATCTTCTTCTTCTCTTTTATTTATTTCTTCATTGATGTTGATCTGGATGTTCATCTTCTTCTCTAGACCAAATTATGCAGATCAACATCTAGAAATAATTTATTTCATCTTCAGAAAAAACACGAAAAAAAAAGGACACCAAAACGATGTCATTTTAGTGTCGAACCAAATTCGAACCTCCGAATTTCGAGCTACGAATCGGAACTGTTATTAACCAAGTCAGCTCATAACCATGGCTGAACACCAAAATGATTGGCCACCAAATAAAAAAGTGGCTGGCACCTTCGAAACGTGGCTTAACCAACAATATGTAGTGGCAGGCCCCATCTCCAAACAAACCATTATTCAAGCCCATTGCTGGTAATGAACAAATCAAAATTGGGTGGCCCCACCTTAAGTCAAAATCATCCATCCAAAACCATGTGCTGGTTTTTAACCCAAAACCGTGGGTCAAAATTTACCCACATTGAACTCCACTAAAACTTCTGATGGCCCCCACCAAGTGAGAACCACTATTGCCGAATATATATAAACTCGCCAGTGCTACGTAGCTCGAAAGCTACCCTCAAATTCCCCTAAATCCTAAACGACGTCATTTTTGTTTTGTTTTGTTTTTTTTGTTTTTTTTTTTTTTTTTAAGGAAGATCAGAGAAGAAGGAGGAGGGAGGAAGAGGAGGAGGAGGAGGGACTGGAGGGGGCATAATATTCGGGGGAGAAGGAGGAGGAGGCTGCGGAAGTGACGAGCTGACGATCGGCGGAGGCGACGAGCTGCTGCTGCGACGATCGGCGGCGACAGAGGCACACGTGATGATCGGCGGCGAGCTTTCTCCCTCTCTCCTCCTCTTCCCCTCTCTTCTCTTTCTCTCTTCTCTTTCTCTCCCTCTGCAGACTCGAAAATGAAAGAAAAAAAAGAAAAAGAAAAAAAAAGGCTAATGCCCAAAACAACGTCGTTTTGGGCATTAGGGGGATTCGGGGGGCAAACTCTCGAGCTACCAAACATTATTCATATAAACTATATATATTATCAAACATCACGCCAGAGTGATATACATCAGCGTCATACGGCGTTGCCATACATCACATCCCACACTTACAGCTGCCCAGACACCACCATCAACCTGTCTAGCCAAGGCGGAAAACTTGAAATCAGGAAGTTATACGCTACTACGCAGTGCACCACTGGCTGAAAAAGCGCGTGGGCAACAACCATCTTCTCCAAACTCCCATATACAACGACGCCGGCAATGGAGCAGCTCCATAATTGACGTAGTTACAAGCCTCGACCAGCAATAACATAGTCGATGCTGCCACAATCACGCTGAAAGCCCCGAAAATTCACACGTTGCAGCGAGCAGATCCTAAAGTTTCCTAAAGTGCTACAGTGTATGGTTGAGATTTACTGGCAAGTCACATCAGAAAAATTGATGTGACTTGCCAGTAAATCTCAACCATACACTGTAGCACTTTAGGAAACTTTAGGAAAAAATCACTCTAGAGGATCCTTACTCGTCTAGCCAAGGCGGAAAACTTGAAATCAAGAAGTTATACGCTACTACGCAGTGCACCACTGGCTGAAAAAGCGCGTGGGCAACAACCATCTTCTCCAAACTCCCATATACAACGACGCCGGCAACGGAGCAGCTCCATAATTGACGTAGTTACAAGCCTCGACCAGCAATAACATAGTCGATGCTGCCACAATCACGCTGAAAGCCCAGAAAATTCACACGTTGCAGCGAGCAGATTGCCTCACCTTTCACAAATTCGAAGACAAAACCAGAGGACCCTTCAGTGCCGGAGAAGAGTCCCTAACATGGCAGTCCCGAAAACCAAAAGATCCATTAAACCAGCCAGAACCAAAAATCAATCTGACTTCAAAGACACCCAAAAATCTCCAAACTCCCAAACACACAATCTAGGTTTTAATCTTATATTGCTATTATTAGTAGAAGAAGAAACCATAGGTCTGCAATCTGCATATATAATACGCAAAATGCATTTCAATTTTTTCCTGACTAAACTCAAGTTGATTAGAGTAAACTTAAGACCAACTACATAATCTCAACAACTATAACTTATGGGTTAGCATCAAAACATGATCAACTTATTCGAGCTACGAAACTTTTTCCTTTATTTTTGTATAGCAAAAGTCATAATTTGAGAAAAGGAATAAGATTTAAACCATTAGCTTTATAATAAGTTATAAGGATTCTAATCAATTACAAGAAAATTGAATTGCTCAGTCAAAGATAATCTATACTTTATAACACAAGTCAAAGAAATGAAATGCATATCAACATAGACAAATTGATTTCAGTTTCACTCGCCTTTTGATGGATAGGAATGAAGGTAGTTGTTGAACGGAAGTCAAGAAATTAGTTGATGGTAAGTGTGAATCTGGTATGACCTAGTTTGTCTCATTAAGGTCGTGTTTGGGTTCTTATTAATTAACCAAACCTAGTAAAAAATTACAATTCCATCAAGAATTTGTTATTAATTAACCAAACCTAGTAAAAAATTACAATTCCATCAAGAATTTATTGAGTGAGTCATATTTCACCAATTGGGACTGGTTCAACTAAACTCACCTAATGGGCTAGCCATAACAGAAAATGCCATTTCTTCAATGTTGGTGATTCATATTCCTAGTACAAACTAACACCATATAATTCATATTCCAAATCAAACTAACACCATATTCTGTTTCATTTTCATTTTCTGTTTTCACTAACACCATATTCCAAATCAAGCAAACTAACACCATATTCCAAATCAAACTAACACCATATAATTCATATTCCAAATCCCAGAACTAACTCAACAGAAAATGAAACTAAAATCTATCACAGTACAAATTCAAAACTTCATAAAACAGTATCACAAGAACCAATACCTTAATAACAAAATTTGGGATAACCCACGGTTTTACAAATATTATTTTGGGATTTTAGGCTTACCTCCGAGCTGAGAGGGATCGAAGGAGTTAATCACCTAATTGTCACAAACATTGAAGCCAAAACGTAAACCCTAGATTTGAGATTTTAGGTTTACCTCAGAAATTTTGATTTTCTTGTAGGTTTACCTCAGATTCCGTGTCGTTCGCCATCGTTCAGTCCCGTTCACTGTCGTTCATCCTCGTTTTTCGTCGTTCGTCCTCTTTCGTCGTCGATCACAGAGCGTTAAGAGGTGAGAGGGATGACAGAGATCTAAGATGGGATCAGAGACTGCTGAGCAGAGATGAGCATGGATAAAAGACTGCTGAGCATGCGTGAGCGTGATCTGAGATGAGAGAGTAGAGGTGAGCGTAATCTCAAATGAAAGAATGGTTTTTGGCTTCGGATAGAGGTAGTTGTTTGAAACAGAGATGAGAGAGAGAAGAGAAGATATGTTTTTCGGGCCACTCGACCCAAATAATTTCGAGGAATAAAGCTTCGGGCTCTGATTCGTAGCTCGAATTCGAAGGCTCGAATTTGGCCCGAATTCAGAGAAGATGAAGAAGAGAAGAAGAAGGAGGAAGAAGAAGAAGAAGAGAAGAAGGAAAAGAAGAACTGGACTGGAGGGGGCCATCAAAATCGGAGGTGGAGGCGGAGGCGGCAGCGGCGGCGGGGGGAGGCAGAGGCGGAGGCGGGGCTGAGCGACGAGCGACGAGCTGCGACGCCGACGAGCTGTGTCCGACGAGCTCTGTTTCTCTCTCGCCTCTGCTCTGCTCTCTCTCGCCTGTGTTCAATGAAGAAGAAGAAGAAGAAAAGAAAGAAAGAAAAGGAAGAGAAAGAAGGAAAAAAAAAAAAAAAAATGGCAAAACGACGTCGTTTTGCCATTCGAGCCAAAATCGAGCCACAAATTTCGAGCTACCAGTCATTTTCCTAAAGCTTCGGACCCCAGTGGGGGTGCCGGGGGTCGGCTATGATTGGCCCAAAAAATTTTTTTTTTTTTGTGTTTTTAGTCAATGAGAGACTAACACGTCACTGAGATGCCACTGGGTGTCGGAAGCATTGCTCTAATTTCGAGCTACAAAGCTTTTCCCTTCTCACTGTCCACTCTCCTTTCTAGGCTATCTCTTTCTTATACTTTTCTCTCTTATAAGTTCTAGGAATAAAGCTTGAGACCCCCAGTGGGGGTACTGGGGGTCCTTTGTGATTGGTCCAAAAATCAATTTTTTTTATTTTTATTTTTTTGATTTTCAGCCACCCCCAGGCCGACACGTAGCACTGGGGGGTCACTGCGGGTCACCCCCACTGGGGTCCCAGCAGAGTTGTAAGTTCTAGAAAACCAAAAAATTGAAAACTCTTCCTTTTCAATATCATTTTTGCTTCTTTTTCTAAACCCTAGGAAGACCAAAAAAATAAAGATTGTGAGAAAGGGTTTTTCAAACTATAATTCTACCCACATTTTAATACCATGTTTAGATAGGGTTTTCAAATTATATTTTCACAACAAATAAAAAACTTTGCAAAAAATTTTGTGTCATGCGAGATTTTCAATTTTTTTTTTTTTTTTGAAATTTGGCTTAACCAGTCGTCTTGCCGATCAACCAGAGCATGGCAAATTTCAAATTTTTTTTTTTTTTTTTTTTTTGGCACTTGTTTTTTTTTTATATGTTTAATAAAACAATATTTTCGGATTTTTTTTAAAATTTTTATGAGCTTTTAACAGATTTTTGAATTGTGTGTTTGATTATGAGTTGTAAGTTTTTGTATCAGCTATCATATGTCACATCAAAACTTCCCCACTCAATTTAAAATTCTTTTGAAAACTCATTCACTAAATAAATTTTCCACACTCAAATCATAATTTCAAAATTCACAAACTCAAAATACAACTCTATTCTCAAATCATATTTAGAAAACTCTACGAAACACTACCGAAGTGTCTCTCTCTCTCTTTCTTCAATTTCTTCTCTGTCTATCTCTTTTTTTCCTTTTTTTCTCTCATAAATCCAGGAAACAAAAAAACCAAAGACCCTCTCCCTTTCATCTCAAGCCTCTCTTTCTGTTATTTTTTTTCCTCTTTCTTTGTGAGACAAACTCAACTCACTCTCTCTCCATCATTTGTGTTTTTCTTTCTTTCAATGGCGATGGTAGTTATGGCAAACGAGGTAACTAACACCGGCGATGATCAATGATGGTGATGGCAGTGGTTGGTGCTACGATTAGTGACTCTCTCTCTCTCTCTCTCTCTCTCCATTTTCTCTCATCTACTATCATAGATGTATGTGTATACATATATGTATATGTATGTATCTATATATGTATATGCATGAGTTGAGTTCCATTTTCAAAAAAAAAATCATCTCAGGTTTTTGAAATCAACCAAACCGACTGTCAAACCGTACTCTATGATTCGGTCAATTTCGAACTATAATTCAGGCGAAAATGGGTCACTAATTTCTTCACCCGAAAGTGTCGGTTCGGCTAAGGAATGAAGGTAAACCCAAACCGAACGGACCCGTGCACTGCATGCCCTAGGTTATTGAGAAGCTTGATTATTAAGAGCATGAACTCAAAATTAAAATAAATAAATAATAATAAATCAAGTAGCTTGATCATCATTAGAATATTTACGTTTATTAAGAAACATAACATCATTTTCACAACAAAAAAAAAAGTAGTTATGTGGAAAATGCTGATTTTTTGGAAAACATTTCTTTTCTTTTTTTTGGGGGTGGACAAATTTGAACTCAAAATTTAAATTGGGTACTGTTAAAAAAAAATGATGATCTAAGTAGCTTATGTTTTACTATTAAAATATACAAAAATGCTTCCTACCCCCAGTTACCCCGACCCCCAGTGACCCTCAGTGAGGTGGCACTCACGTGATAGTCACGTGACTGTATTTACAAGACCCAAACAACAGGTTCACATTTCATTTGAAATTTTCCCCTCTCCCCTCTCAAACAACGGTAACAGAACCATAAATCTGAGTTGCTACTGCCCCCCACTCCGATGCCTGACTCCCACTCCGACGCCGGCGACCACTCCTTCCCTTCACTCCGACACCGACAGCTCGTTCCCTCCCTTCACTCGCGAATCTCTCTGTCTCTCCTTTCCTTCACTTCAACTGTATGTATATCTGCGTATATATATCTATCTATCTATCTATCTATCTATCTATCTATCTATTTTCTGTTCGATGAATTGTGGAATCTCTCTGTCTCTCCTTCCCTTCACTTCAACTGTATGTATATATGCATCATTCCCTTCACTTCAACTGTATGTATATCTGCATATATATATATATATATATATCTATTTCCTGTTTGATGAATTGTGGCATTTGGGAAATTTGTGAAATTTCATTTATTATTTGTGAAATTTGTATGTATTATCTGTGAAATTTCCTTTTGATTTGGGAATTGTGGCATTTTCATTTACGAATTGTGGCCTTTTCAGTTGGAGTCTTACATTGCCTTAAACGTGTTCGATGAAATTCCCCAACGAAATGTTTAATCTAATCATTTACCTTTTGAATTGGTTCAATTTCTCCAGTGCATAATTTCTTCATTAAATCAATTTCAAGATTCATCTTGATTATACAGAAATTTCTGTGCATAATTGGTTCAATTTCTATGCACCAGAAGATGGTTTAATAGTCAATGCCCATTATATGGTTTACCTTTTAATATGCTTTAATAGTCAATGCTGAAGGTGCATAAGATGAATGCTTTGATTATAAGCAATTGCTGAAGGTGCATAATTTCGACTAAATAAATGACACAATGAATGCTGAAGGTGCATAATTTCGACTTGTCATTTTTGTTGCTTATAATCAATTATGAAAACCGTGGGTCCTGTAACAGATAATTCAAGCCATTAAAAATATGATTAAACAATAACAATTACAGAATTATAATAAATAATAAGTAACCAGTTATAATAAAAAGCATAATGAGCAACCAATTATAATAAAAAGCATAATGAGCTCTAGTTTCTCTAATGCATAAGAAGTTTTCATTATTGCAGAATTCCTTTCAAAACAAGGGAGGAATAAGACAAGTAGCATTAGTCTAAAAGCAAACTTGTACTTAACACACATATATCAGCATCAATGACCTCTACAAATGAAGAGTGGGAATCCATCTAAGAGAGCAAACCTAGGATTGATCATTATGGAATGACTTGATGGCAATCTCTGCAGAGTGTTACCTGATTTGCAGTGGTCTCAACCACAAGCTTCTTCAGTTCTTTGTCCACACCAAGCCACTATCATATATAAGAATGTAAATAAAAAACTGAACCTTCTCATCCAGAGCCTTGTAAAGCTGCACCTTCAGCATTCATCTTCTATATACAAAAATTTCCTCCTTTTATGTATTATTTTTAATTGCTAAATTATAAGATCATTTGAATATATATATTTGAAATTTCTGTTTTATCAGTGAGTAAATAGTACATAAAGGAAAACTGAACTTCAGAATGTGAAATGGTTTCCTCAACTTAAAGTATTATGTTGGTACCAACACCAACTGAACTCCTGCAGTTATAGAATGGGCCTGGCTAATAAAATTCATATTGCTTACTCTAAGTGGATTTTGGTTGATAAGCTTATATTTTGGTTGCTACAGGACTCCTTATAACTGTAACTTAACTTATTCTCCATTAACTTAACTTATTAACTTCACTTAACTTGCTATTTGTCCCTCTTTGCAGATGTCAACTTCAAGTGTCAGTGGCAGTAGCTCAGGTTGGTTGACATACGTGAACAGAATTTGTCGTACATGTAACAAAAAGGCCACCATCAAAATATCACAAACCGAGCAAAACAAGAACAAGTTATTCTACTATTGTAATGTTTGTGGTTTTATCAGATGGTGTTTACCTATGAATCCAGAATATGGAGGTCATCAAATTCAAACAGACGAAGTCCCAACTGTTGGCGAACAAGTTATGACTGAACGACTTCAAGCTATGACCGAACAACAAATACAGCTGACGGAACAACTTCGAATTCAGAACACAAAGATGCAAAAGTTGATATATATATGTTGTCCGTGTTGTTTGTAATTGGTGCCTTTAAACTTATAAATATGTAATAAGTAGAAGTAGATGTCAATGTACAAGTTGAAGTAGACTTAATACTTTTGCGATGTTTTGGAGGAAGTCATGTTTTGTTGTGTATTGAAACCTACTTATTGTACCTCTTTTGTTGTTAATGGAATGGAAAATGACTTGTTCAAATTTGTACACTTTCTTCAATACTCATTGAATGGACATTGTTAAATATAGGAAACTGTTGAATACAAGGTAACTATTGTTGAATACACAGTAAACTAATCTCTGCATCTGTCCTTGAACTTCTTTGAATTTTGCATTGGTGTAGGCTTGCTAAAATTGCTTCTCAAACCTGTATATAGTTAGGCAATCAAACAATTTGTGTCGAGACTTGAAGTCTGCTTTCTTCTCTTTCTCTACCTTATTTCTCAAGGCATTGTCATATTGTTCAACGAATTGCTTCAATGTAGTTTTTGGATTTACATATCCATCAAAAAACACATTCATACTTTCACTTCGTTGTGTAGTTGACATGCTAGGCCAAAAAATGTCTTTAACATAAACAGGCACCTATCGATTCCGCTCATCATATAGTACCCCCAACTACTCATTATCATAAACATTGAATGTTGCAAGCATCTTTTCCCATTTACTCTCAAATTCAGCTCTTGTCAAACAATCATAAATTGTATTTTGCATAGCCAACTTTATGGCTTCATATTGAGCATATCCTTTTAACTTCTCCGGAATTTTCTTCATGATATGCCATAAGCACCACCAATGTCGAGCTTGTGGAAACACAATTTCTGTAGCATTTTGCATAGCTCTACACTGATCAGTTATGATAGCTTTTGGCGGATGATTTGACATGCAACTTAACCATGACTTGAATAGCCAAACAAATGTGTTAGTGTCTTCACTAGACAACAATCCACAACCAAGCAAAATGGACTGACCATGGTGATTAACTCCGACAAATGGAGCAAATGGCATGTCATATTTGTTCATCAAATAAGTTGTGTCAAATGAAACGACATCTCCAAATGCTTCATAAGTCGCCCGACTCCTTACATCAGCCCAAAACAAGTTTCTAATGCGAAACTCCTTATCAACATCAATCACATAAAAGAATCTCTCACTATGTGCTTGCATCCTCATAAAATAACTTTGAAGTGATTCGGCATCACCTTCCCCAAGCCTCAACCTTCTAGCTCTCTCAATGTAATTTCTTACATCTTGTTCGTCAAATGTCAATGACTCGTATCCCCCTGCTTCGACAACCATTGAATGAAAGTTCTTAGACACCCCAATCCCTGCTTCATCATTAATTTCTAATCTTCTCTTCACAGGAGTAAGAATTTTCTTATTCATTGCAATATGACGTGAGTCGGTGGGAATCAAATCATGATTATGCTCAAGGTTAACCGTGGTTAGTTTATATCTCCCATCCTTTTGTACACTACCTCGTACCCTTGCTGTGCAACCAATTTTTGTGGACAAACATGACTTCTGATGTCTTTCTTCTCTGCCCCGCTCGAGAACATTCAATTGCAAAGTTTAGCAATTGCACATCATCTCCAAAATATTGTGCTCTATGAGCTATAGAAAATCTGACATGTTTAGCATATTTGCCATAAAATGTGTACACCTCTTCCCTTGAGCTAAAACACATACCCTTTTTAGGTTCTTTAACGTGTTCGCCCTCATTTATTAAAGGATTCTCACCTTCAACATTTGAATCAACCTCCATTTCTCCACTTTGCGTACTGAAATAACAATTAAACAAATATCATTACAGATTATGGAACTAAACTTCATATTTCAGATTTTATATAAACTGTTTACAGATTGTGGAACTACACAGTTTACAGATTATGGAAATTATATGAAGTTTGCTACCAAGCTTATGAAGTTTGCTACAAAGCTTACAGATTACAGATTATGAAGTTTGCTACCACAGTTGAGCACAATTACTCATAAAAATTATATAAATTGTATTTGGTTAAAATGGTGCTATGGTTGCAGAAAATCCATAAATAAAATGTTGAGGGATACAATTTCACGCATATTCTAGTTGAGCATAATGCCCAGATTATCTTTTTGCTACCAAGCATGCCTTTCTTGGCTGGAGGGCCACGGACTGTAGCCAAACAGAGTGCCGGAGTTGGAAGAGTGGAGTTCCAATATGCACTATCAATGCAAGGTAACAGTGGACGAAACTTCATTTCACACTCAGTAATTGCAATTCTATACAGAACGGATCCAAGAAAATGGAGGCCCCCCCTTTTTTCATGTATATTGTTATTATCTTTATTTTAATCTGTGAAGGGGTTTGCTCTTGTAGGAACTCAGTGACGATTACCACCTAGAGCCAACTCACTAACGGTGATGTTTCACTATGTCAATCTAGTGTAGCCAAGTTAGTCAGATCAGTTAACAGATTTGTCCACAACTAACAAATTTACCTAAAAAACATAACTCTTGTCCAAAATGACAAATTGATTATAGTTTACAGATTATATTTCAAATTTCAGAATTAGCATATAACTGAAAGATTAGCATATGAAATTGATTTTTTACCTCATAAACCAGATTGATGGACAGAGACAGAGCAAAGCAAAACCAGATAGAGCAAAATTACAGGAATTCTAAGGATAGATGAGAGCTAGTAATCTGATATGGTGGAGGAGGAGGAAATTTCACATTCTTCTGAAGAAATGAGTTAACATCTGAGACCCACTTCCACAACCCATACGGAGAATTTCAATCCTTCTGGAGAAAGTCTAGCCACTAGTTTTTGCAGAAATTCCCGGCGAGCTATGGTGGAGGAGGAGGATGGCGGCGAGAGGTGAGGATAGACGGGGGAAGACAAACGAGGATAGACGAGGATGGCGGCGAGAGTTGAGGACATACGAGGGAAGACGCGGGAAGACAGAAATTCCCACTTTTTCCCTTTTTTTTTTTTTCCAACTGTGTTTACACATCAGCTGCCACCTCATCGCCACGTCACTGGGGGTCACCACGTCACTGGGTGTATGTAGCGGGATTGTAAAATATAATCTTTTCACAAGGCAAGTAAGAAAGATGGGGAAATGATAGATTATAAGGGTGGTGTTAATTGTTTAAGGCCTCGTTTATTTGGAGAGTTAGAGTGGAGATTGGGATTGGTAGTGAGGTGGGACTTACTAATATTGTGTTTGTTTTGAGAGATGAGAAGAGGATTGATAGTGAGTTCCGGATTAAAATGGGCCTCCCCAAGGGGATTCGGATGGACCTCCAGGACTTAGTATTAGAAAAATAGTCCGGCGGACTAGAAATTTATTTTTTTTAATGTTTAATTTTTTATATTTTTTGTTAAGTAAAAATCATTATTTTATTTGTTTTATTTTTTTCTGAAAATTTTTTATTTTATTTTTATTTTTTAAAAATTTTTTACATGTTGAGAATTTTTTTTAAAACATTAATGTTTAATGTTTCTGTATTTTTTTTTATTTGTTTTATTATTTTATATTTATTTTATATAAATATAATTTAACAATCTCTACACCAACAATTATCATCAAAACAAACACAATTTTACTTAATCCCCTCACTATCAATTTTCTCACTATCAATCTCCTCCATTCTACTTCTAAAAACAAATGGAATGAAAGAGAGTTTTTTTCTTTTCTTTTCTTTTTTTTAATAGAACTTTGTTATCCACCTCGGTGACAAACTCCACACAACATATTTTTACAATAAATTAACTTTTTTCAGTCTTTACTTTAATTTTATTGGAATGCATCTATGCCTAAGTAATTTTACAAAATTCATTTGAAAGTCGAAACCAACTAAATCTGTATTTATATTTTGACCTTAAATTTTTAGTAACAAATTTGATAAATTGATTGTACCGTAGTGGTGCATACGCTAGTGTGTATATATATATATAAGAAGTATTTTGCGTGACATTTTTTCTTATGAAAACGTGCAACGGTTAATCAATGTAAAATATGAGAGAATTTTGACATATCATTGAAGAAACAAAAATCCATGTGCCAGAATAATTAAGAAACTTATGTAAAATATGAGAGAATTTGACGTATCTTTTTTTTTTCTGTATAATTCTGATTTATAATTTGTCACTTTGAATAAATTGTGCAAAAAGTTGGGCTGTGGCTTTCCATAATAAATTTGATGTATGACCTAAACTTGGATTAATGAATACAGTTCATAACTTTGGCACCACATTGTTTGAATTTGACTAACTCAACACAAAGTCATGCTAGTTGGCAAATCATCAAAGGATTATGGGTGAGGTGATGCATCAACCTCGCCTTTTGGAGGCCTTTAGTTTTTTATTTTTATTTTTATTTAAATTGGAATAATTAATTTTGGAACCCTCTGTCCCATCTAGTAAAATGGACTGAACCATTGTTACTTTTGTGTGGTTGACCCACACATAATTAGAGTTCACATCCCTTTCTCCCGCTGATGTTTTTTAGTAATGCTTCCTCGTTTGATTTTAACATTGAGTGTCATAAAACTACTATTAGGTTCTATTAGGATATTTTGAAAAAACTAAAAAAATATGGATGGTCTCTCCTTCAGACCAATCGTCGGACTGGTAAGATTGATCACGGTTTCTATTTTAATAATTTAAACTATTCAATTTGTAAGATCATTCGTTTATATTATTCATAAAAAATTAAATCAATTTAATAATTATAAACTATTTAATTTATCGTGTTCATCACACTAAAATTTTATTATTCATCTCATCGAGTATAATTTAAAAGTACAAAAAAAATTTAAAAAATTTAACAAAAATTTGACGAAAAACAAGCCAACCAAAAAAAAATACCAAAAAAGCAAATCTCAAACATCCACGAGGTGTTCTACAGAAAGATTTCATCATTTCGATGGTTTGTTTTGATCGTAATGTTGTTGGGTGAATCAGTTGATTAGTGGCACTATAGCAGTGACATTCTTCGTTAGCTTCGATTACTAGTTACATGAATGCATATATATAT